AGATTTGGAAATTTGTTATTTATTTTAAAACAGAGTTAGTAAGGATATATTACAAGTTTATAAACCAAAGTAAAGTCAGCATTGTTCTTGTGTGTTGTGACACTGTTATACACTTTGTGATGCTGTGTTTATGACACTTTTTGTGACACTGTTTAGACACAGCGTCATTGTTGTTTAAGGTGTACAGTACTACAAAATCACGGTAAATTCTACAGGGTCATTGCTGTTCGAGGTTTACAACCGGCAGTTCCTGATCTTCGTGAGCCTGGTGTGGTGCAGTGTCAGTGACGATGCGCCGTTCACAGTACCGACTGCCCTCGGGTGGACTTTCCTCACTAACCGCTGCCCTTGGCCTGGGTCTGGGCTCCTCTTCACAGGTCAGTGACATTCATAATAAAAATAATAATAATAAAATAATAAATAATAATAATAATAATAAAACATTTTTAATATAAATATAACAATAATAATAAACACAACAATTCATTATATAATGTTATGGATAAAATTTAGACTGGACTAAGACTTCAAGACTATGTAGTCTTGTAGTCATGTTCAGGACTACATAGTCTTAAATAACAAAAAGGCACAATACTGTGACTGGAACAATACAACAGATTAACCCACACATAGGAGAGAGGAATTTATGACGCCCATTTGGTCTGACTTGGCCCATTTAACTAAGTCCACTAACTTAGTCATGGCTTTGTCTCTGTAAATGCCTTCCTTTCTCATTACATTGAAAAATGCTCCAAACTTCAGAACACCCGTGACTTAACCTGATTCTTTTTTCTTCTTGTCCCTCTTCCCCTTTTTTTTTTCCTCTTTTCTTCTTTGGGTTTTCTTTCTTCTGCCTTGGGTTTTGGTTCTTTTATTCCCCCCTCCCCTGTGTTTTTGTTCCTACCCTAAGTGTGCCCCTAGCTCTCCTGCAGTGCCCTTTTTCTGACTGACTCCATTATTTACTACTACTACTACTACTGCCTCTCTACTTCCTTTCCTACTACCTCTCTTGCCCTTTGTCTCTGTTCTGCTGACCTATAAAATACTGAAATCCTCTCTTTTCTGTTTGTGGGCTTTGTAAATGGTCCAAGTCAGACCTAAATGTCACTGTAAGCTCCTCTCCTACGTGCTGGTTATTTGTGTAAGTAGTCTTATAATAGTTAAGACTTCAAGGCTATTTAGTCTTGTCTTATTCATCGATAAAGACACCCAGTAAAGACACCCAGGTGTTGTACATATGTCTTATTTATCAATAAAGACACCCAGGTGTTGTACGTGTCTTATTTATCAACTTGTCAATACTGCATACCTTTACTATGACCTGACTTTACCTAATACCTTTTGTTATTGTTCCAGGTGGTAATGTTCTGTGTCTGGACCTCTGGGGTCGGCAGGGTGGAGCGTCACTTCAAGCTCTGCACTTCAGTTTTGCCGTTGGAGCTTTTGTGGTTCCTCTGGTCATCCAGCCTCTCTTTGTTGGATTGCAACCCATGGTGCTGCGTGGCAACCAGTCGGATGCCCAGGATCTCGCCACCGACACGACAGATGTGCTGAGGCTCATCCGGGGCCTTCCAGGGGTGGAACCCACAGACAACACCCACCTCAACTCTTCATTTTTTGATCTCGAATCACTCTCCAGGGACGACATAATACGCCTGACGTTACCTCAGACAAATGCAACCAATGGGAGCTTTGTCGATACCACTGCAAATGCAACGTGGTTGGGCACGTCCGTTAGTTACGATGGCGAGACTCCGTCACCCCCAGGGACGATACCCGCCATCTCGGCAACTGTCGCTGCCCCAAACATTTCCTCGACTGTGAAGACGCCAAAAATGAAGCCCAGTTACACAGACGCTAACCGCCTTGAACCTGACTCTGTCAAGGTGTGGAAGAAGCCGGCCGGAGCTGCAGCTGGAGCCACAGCCATCGACACTAAACCCAAACTGAACAGTCCAATTGTGGAGGAGAAGAAAGACTCAGGCGGAGTGGCAAAACACTCCTGTACCTGATGTTAGTTCTCTTACAACACTAGCAGGGCAAGCAGCAGAGGTGTCGATGCCAGTACTCAACACTCAGCAAGTGACCGGTGGAATGCCAGACAACCACACACACACTTCCTCAGTGACCTCAGCAAGCAGTGCTTCACACCAGGTGGATCACAGTGCCTCAGACACTACGGCTGTGGATGGTAGTAGTGCCGCTGTCACTGCAACTGTGGATGGTAGCAGTGCTACAGTGAAAGTTCATTCATTGACCACTCCTGTCACTTCCATTTCAGCAGACTGCATCAAGTATCTCCTTAATTACAACTGACATCAGGCCCCTAGCTACCACTGCTACCACCATTCACCCGTCTACCACCACTTACACCACTACCACCACCACCACTGCCCCTTCTACAACCACCACTACCACTACTGTTGCCCCTTCTACTACCACCAGTACCACCACCAAGCTGCTGTTGACCATCACCAGTCTCCCATCTACAGCGACCACCTCCAAGTTCCAACCTATCACAACCAGCCTCCCATCTACCACCACCATTCTACCAGATACCACCACAGTAACCCCCACATCTAAGTATCTGAAGCTCAACAACTATGAAATAGAATTCCCTGAGATAGACATGACCTCTGACACAGACTCTCTCATATATGGCAATAAAGGATTTGGCACCTTGGCAGAACAACCAAAAGAAAGTATCGAGGACGAGGATGCCATCGTTCCAGAACCTGAGTTGTTAGACCTCAAAGAGCCCATCAAATATGAACCAGAAGATTTAAATTCTGAGAGTGATGCATTTGATAATGCTGACACTTCAGATACTTCATCACTAATCCATCATCAGTCGAAGCCAGGGACTTTCAGTAATGGAAGCGACGAAAATAATCAGTTTCTTGATGACATGGCGCTCAAGTTGAAAAATTTGAAGGTCACTAAGGTCCATTTAGCTTATATATGTATTGGTATTTTCATCATTCTTAATGCCCTAATTTCTGTGGTAATACTGTGTCACAACCCCAGAGAAACTCGATCAAAACAAGATGACGGTAACTTGAACAAAATGCAAAAAGGCCGAATCGTTTTGTTCACCATTGTGTTTTCCGTGTTCATGTTCATGGCCGAGGCATTGCAAGGGGCCGTTCATCACTTGCTGGCATCCTCAGCCACTGGTGCGGGTCTTGATGTCGTCCAAGAATCGAAAATTGATGGCCAGGTGCTTTTCTGGGGGCTGGTTTGCCTCGTTCGATTTCTTTGCATATTAGTATCAGGTTGCTTGCACCTGAAGCCCGGCAAACTCCTCGTCATCTCAGTTCTTTTGTCCGTTTATCGGGTCAGTAATTCTTATCGATTGGCTCCTTCGGAAAGGAAGATTTCCTGTGGGGCGGCATTGTATTTTTGGCAATTGGTTTGGCGCCTGTTTTGCCAACGAGTTTACTGTGGATGGCCCAGTACATGCGAGTGACGCACCGCATGTGTGCTCTCATGATTTCTTAAGCTTCATTGGTAACTCTCTGACGCATTCCCTGCTGACGAGGGTGGGCAGGAATTCTCGACGCTTACTCTTACTCCTCGTCACCATCAGCTTCGTCTCTCTTTTCTTCCTCTTCTTGTCAATGTGCGTTTTGTACACAGCCCAGCGCAGCAAAACCCTAGGTGTCCCTGTAGGTTATCAGCTGGCCAGTCAACACGAGGAAGAGGACAGCATCGAACTGACACCCTCTGGAGTGCAGTATTCACCCACAACGACTCCAATCTCGGGAAAATGGGAGCCGGCCAGATCTTCTACTATACTAACCATTATTGATAGTAATAGCTGCACTCTATGTTGTGTAATAATAATAATTAAAATGATAACCGAGAGAAGAGCGTATATTACTGAATCTAGTCGTTATTTTCATATATAATTTTTTTAAATTTATAGTAGTTAGCGTTTCAAAATTCTTACCCAGACTTCGTACCGCAAAAACGAAATGTTTCACAGGGAACCCGAGGAAACAGAGATAATATTGTACAGTATATTTAAGACTTTAGCTATAAGAAATATTACCTGATAAGTTACCGAGGAAGATGTATTAATGCCGGACTTATAATTATGGTTTTCAGCTTACCAGTGAAGTTATAATGCTGCTGTGTTAGCTGAGGGTGAGTTATTATTTTGGCATTTTGAGCTGAGGGATGAGTTACGTATATGTGGTTTTTACTCACAAGTGAACAATAATTCCCATAATACAATTATTCCCATAATACAATTCACAACCCACAGTTCTGTGGCTAGAACAATCCACAGCTAACTCACAATACTGTGGTTGTAACAGTTCACAATTAACCCCTCAGTACAATGGTTGTAACAATTCACAACTAACCCACAGTACCATGGTGGTAACAATTCACAACTAACCCACAGTACCATAGGTGTAACAATTCACAACTAACTCCACAATACTATGACTGCAGCAGTTCACAACTAACTTGCACTTAAGATAGGAATCTTATGAGGACCCTAGTCCATCCTGACCAGAAGAGACGGCAGAGGATTCGATTAATGTCCAGCCACAAGCGAGTGAGAGGAAAAGAGGACTACTATCCGAAGACAAGTCAAGAAGAAAAAAGGTATGATACCTATCCTGGCGGCCCGCGGAAAACGCCCTGGAACCAGTGCTTCACGGAGTGGGATCCATGAGTTACTGTTAGTCCATAGAAAGTTGCCAGGAGTGTAACAAGCAATGTTATCTTACAAGCAGAATGTTAATGTGCCAAAGTGCTCGAGTGTGTGCATTCCGAGTGATTCACTATAATCGTAATCCATCGTTTGCAATATAAACAGTGAGCTAGTTAACATGCAACCACAGTAAGATCCTGGTGGGTAGAGTGCTTAGTTTGTGATTGTAATAATAACGAGAGCAAAGGTCACCAGCAACACATGGGACTAACACCTCATAGATACCAGTCTCAAGATGCTGGCTTCACTTTACATTAATTCACCACTCAGTAAATAGAGTATTCAGAGAATGTATTGACATGGTTGACAATTTCGCATCAACCATCAATATGATGCTCGTGATGATTTTGATAGCACAACGCAATGACTAATACACGGTGAAACAATCTGGTTAATTTTGGAGCATTTCCAGTTCATCGTCCAGTAGAGACCGACGCAAAGTTAAACAAACAATGGGGAAAGTTCATTCATCCCACCAGAGAAGGATTTTGACGCATCAGTGCAGTGGACATGTAGATTAATCCCCACTAAGGAAGGCTTGAAGGTGATATCCAGCCCTTGATTTTGGACAAGGTCTTGTGTTGGATCACCAGTGAGAGTGGACTAGCCTCAAGCCTGCTAAAATCATTCTGAAAACTTGTCTTTCATTTCTTCATCATGTCTGTGAGGCTGTTACCGCTGACCCCTCTTCAAGGGGGGCTCCTTGGCGTGGTGAAAGGCTCTTGGTCTGAGGATTAGACCCTATCGGTCTACTCCTCAGACCGAACCTAAATACCCCCCAATCTCCCCTCCCCTAACCCATCCACCCCATCCTCCCCTTTCCCTTTCCTCCTCCTCCTCCCCACTCCCCCTTTTTGCCCTTCCTCTTTTTTGTCCTTTGGGATTTCTTCTCCCCCACAGGCACGCTAGTTCCTAGGTAGAGGAAAGGACACCGGGTCCGAGATCCCATTCCGTTGAGTTTCTTGCGGTGCTAGTTTGGCCGTGAATCTGGATTGCCTAGGGATGTCCCGATCCCTCAACCGTATCCCGGAGTAAGCTTTGGTGTCCTTGTTGGGCGACGGGTGTATCTCTGGAAGCCACCTTTCGGATTCCGGGGGTGGTGGCTGAAGGAGGTAAGGCCTTTGTGGCGATATCCGGCCCCCTCTCTTTGTCCACCGAGTAGCCTCGGCAGATTGAGGTTGCTATCCCCAGAAGCTGGTTTACTGAGGCATGAAGGGTAGGGTATGGCACGGTTTCCATGCTGCATCCTGCGCTACTAGCGGTGGGTCGAGTCCTCTTGGGCGCCGGAGGGAGATTTCTGGCCCTTTCCTTCCTCCTAGAACTATCCTCCCACGTCCCCCCCTTTTTTTTTCTTTTTTTTTATTTTTATTTCTTTTCTTCTTTCTTTTTTTTCTTAAAACAAAAAACGAAAGAAGTAACCAACCAATGGCAGCCCTAGTCCCATGAACCTTTTACCCCCCCGGCCCCTATCTTGATACCGCACCCCGTTCTGAACCCGCCTCGTCTTTGGACCACTCTATCAGACAATCCTCATGCCTCTGTACTATTGCCGGGCTGTTTCCTCACCGCTTCAGGTACTGAGGCCTCGACTGACTCCTTTCGATTATCAGACCTTCGCTCTCCTCTGACTATGCTTCCGGCCTCTCCCTCTAACGGTGGCGGCAATTTTCAAATCGCCGTCCCCGTTCCAACGTCGGACCAACTCTGGTCCCACGCTAAAACGTCACGACAATTACCTGCTGAGATACTTCTCCAACCTTCATCACCTTCTCGTCTTCTCAGAAAAGATCGATCACTCCATCACTACCTTCCACGCTCATTTTTCAGACTGACAGTGGACTAAATTCTTCACGTTTACGACCAACTTCCTCTACTGCCTATCTTTCTGACCTTAAATTGGCAAGGCACTCCTACGCCATGTTGGTAAAGATATTTTCTTTTCATGCTCTTAAACGGTACGTCGCATCATTAACCGTACAGAATGCTACCCAGGCTCGTGAGCTCATCCGTCTTTCCATAAGATACATGTTCCCTGTCCACCCTTGAAAAACATCATTCCCTCAATTCTTGTAGTGTACCGATATACCTGCCCCATACCATAGTTCAAACAAAATTTCCAACATGAGGCACCGACATACAAGAACAGCTGGAACGCCAAATCTCCAATCTCAAGGTAACACTTACGTACTTCCTGCCCGTGGCAGACGATACCTAGCAATGTGGCTCGTTTAAACTTTGACAGCGAGAACTCCCATCCACAGTTTATAATACAGGACATCGGTTACAAGTTCGAAAGGTGATCCCTACACCACAACAGTGTAGAAATGCTGGCGAATTGCCATCCAGCGAAATATTGCAGATCTATCGCCGAATGCCCAAGTCTGTGAGCCGATGACCATTCTAATACGTACTGCAATCGATCTCCTCTGCCTTAACTGTCATGAGGCTCACCCTTCGTACTCTCGCCGTTGTCAGGTCTATTTAAACGAGCGGGAAATCCGTCACCACAAAGAGACAGAAGGACTTCCCCTTATGCCATGGCAGTTTCTCATCTCGCCTCCCAGGGAGACTCCCACGTGTTTCTTATTCCCGAGTTTTCAAAAAACAAAACGTCCCCCCACTTCTGGTATCCCATCTTCTACCCCACCTCTGAGGTACCTCTCCCATAATCACTCCGTATCTAATCCTTTTGCTGTCCGTCGGCTCAGACTGAGCCTACCTTCAACGCCTCATCTAATCTCGCTTCTTCGAGTTCCCTCTTACAAGCCTCAGTCATCGACCCTGGACACAACGACACCTCTTCCCATCGTCCCTCTAAACTTCTCAAAAGTCCAAACGAAAGTCCGGTAACAACTGCTCTCTACCCATCTTCCACCTCCTCATTTACCCTCCCTGTCTCTGTCCCTAGTTCTTCCCCTCTCACTGGCTCAGTTTACAAGTGCAGATGTCACCCTCACACCATCGTAATGTAACCTTCCACCCCTGTTCCCCTCCCAAGTTTTCTTCCTCTTTCTGCCACCTCCCAGGTTTCCTGTCTCTTCTGTCCCTGCCACGCTTCTCCAGTTCCCTCAACCCTTTCGCCCCCCCCATACCTTGTACGTTCCAATACAGTTCCAACTTTACTCACCTCCCCTACCATTCCAATATTTGTCTCCCAATACGAACATCTCTGAATCCGAACACTGAAGCATTCTCTGAATATAATGCAGAGACAAACCATCGAATGGACACTGATCCACCTTCCTCTCTTCCTCTCATACCTCTGCTCCACTGCGCACTCCTTTCTTCACATCGACCGTTCCTTCGCTGCTTGAACATTTTCCACTGCCTCCGCATGTGACCTTTCAAAACCTTCTAGTCCGTAGAACCCTTACCTGCGGATTTCAATATCTTTATCATTGCCATCATGGCCTTTTTTCAGGTGAAATATACGCGGCTCAGGGTAATCGGGGTGAGCTTCAGATTTACTCTCTCAGTTTTGCCCCTGTGGTGTTTGCTACAGGAACCAAAATTACCCTCTGCGTTATTTCTCACATCCAGGCTATAATTTATTGTATTCTTCAGATCCTTTCCTGATGGGACCTTTAATGAAAGTGCCCTTCTTCTCCGCACTGATATCCGTACCATCAGCTATAGGTTTCATATACTTCGCTGCATTACACAGCAGCCCTATCCACTTACATAGGTGGTATACGCTTCTTTCTTTTAATCTCTCCCTCTCGGGCATTATCTATTCCGGATTTTGCCCTTCCTTGTTTCGTCATTACCGCCACCGATTCTGTTACTTGGTGGATTTTAATGCCACCATTTCCTCTGGGGAGGGTCTCCACTGGTGATTCCTGGAATTCAGTTAGAGGCTTTTCTTGCCACCCACCCCCTCCATGATTTTAAATACCGGTACTCACACCCATTTTGATTCCTCGACTCATACTCTCTCTTGCATCGATATCTCAGTTTGCTCTTCTTTTCCCTCCTCCGCCGCATTAAGACTTACTTAGGTCTGTTCTCCCGACTTACATGACAGTGATCATTTCCCAATCATATTCTTACTTCCCCTTCTATATCGCCACCTCATCGCACCCCACGCTGGCAATTTAATCGGCAAATTGGGAACCTTTACTCACACCTGCCTGTTTTTAAAGAGTTCCTTCTTCGTCCTCCATCGATGAGCTTTTTCACCTAATCACATCCTCCGTTTTCACCCACACCCGCACTTACTCAATCTATAGCCCCAAACTTCGAGCAGGCATTCTCAGAAATGCGTGCCTTGGTGTCCTCCTGCTTGTGCTCGTGCAGTACGTTTGAAACGCGCTGCATGGGCAGGTACCGGTACAATAGAACCACAGAGCGACTCCTTATTTTTAAACTAGAAGCGTGCGATCGCTCGCCCGGTCA